ATTAATATTTATTGTTTTGCCAACGTTGTTAATTTAGTCAATATTGATACTAATACTCCCACCATCCTAAATTATAATACATTTTTAAATAAAATTTTACATATCAATAAAATTTATTAAATACATTTTACAACTTTAATTTTTTAAGATAAAAATATAAAACTTTTAAAAATGCCATTCATTTAATACTCCATTGCTAAAAAAATAATAAAAAAATATATAAAAAGAGTAATATTAAAAAAATATAATTAATAAAACTTTATTTTTATCAAATTGTATTATATTTTAAAATGTTAAATTTTTTTTAAAAATATTTTATAATTTGAGACAGAAGGAGTATAAAACATAACATTTATTATAACAAACTCGCACATCGAATTTATATAATGTATATTGATTTATTTGGAATGCGTGCACATTTTGTTTGATAAGTATGTCATGCACATCTTATCCGAGATGATCTAGATGAAATTTGAATGAAACATACTTCTGTATTTTATTTTATAATCTACAAGTCGGGATATTATTTTTTTTTTACAAGTTGTTAGTTATAAATTTAATTGACATTATCTTGTAGTATATTTTATAAATGGTAAAAAATAATAACATCGAATGAAAAATAATAAAACCCAAATAATCTAGATAAGATTTAGATTTATATGGTCAAAGTGATTATAAGCACACGAGTGTACTTCTGCGGATGCATTTTGCATATAAGACCTTCGTAATTTCGTATAGAATATAATTAATTAAGCCAAAAATTTGCAAAACACAAAAGCGGTAAACTTATGGAAGCTTTGTAATGCATTGCGACTGTGATTGTATACAATATATTGGTGATATTGCCTCAAAATTGTACGTTTATAATTTTTTTTTTAATATAAGGCCATGATAAAAACAATGTAAGAGATCAATATTGGGTTAAGTCAAAAACCATAAGGCTTTTACAATTAGTAAACTATTTGTCAAATAAGATAATAGTAAAATGCTCTTCAAAAGCCTTGTGGGCCAACAGATTTGCACATATACTAACTTCTCTATAAACATGATCAAAAGTGATCTTTCGATCATGCACAGTGAGATTCCTAATGTTTGTAATAATAACTGAGAGAGGGTGACTGTAAGAAGGGTTACAATTGATGAGAGATAAAGTGTCCATAAAATTCAAATAGACGTTAACTTTGATGAACTTAACATTTCAATAAAGGTTAGTCATTTCAATATCCCTATAAATTCAGTTACAATGTTAAGTTGGAAGTCAAGATTTTTGAAATTTTTTTTAATCTAATTACCTTTATCATTTTTGATAAGGCCTTTATAAGCAGCTATACTATTAAGATTGGCAGAACCATCTACATCTAGTTTAATCCACCCTGTATTTGGTGAGTTCTATTTAACTTCATGTTTGCTCAATGAATCTACTTTAGATTGAAGTTTCAAGTTATTAATAATTTGTTAAGTATATAAAAAGGTGATGTCGTTGTCCAAGATAGTATATTCTAAATACATTTTTTTGTATTTAGCTTTTTAAATATTCTAGCAAACTTAAATAAAAAAATACCTTTATACTTTAGAAGTGGGGCGGTAAACCACGCGGTGACTTTCAATTCTTTTAAACATACTTGCGGCCAAAACAAAAAAAAGAGGGCGGGGGGGTGGTGGGAATAGAGGGTCAGGGTGGATCCCACTTGAGGACTCACGGGCAGATCCAGCATAATCACGAGCAAGTGGCACTAGTGAGAAAGAATGATACAAGGAAAAATGATAAAAATATCTCCTTAAATTATATAAATAAAAAAATAATTATTAAAATATTATAATTTTATTAAAATTCTTAAAAAAATTTATATCATTAAATTTTAAATTAAATTCATCTTTACTAAAAATAATAAATTCTAATTATAACTTTTATTTAAAAAATAATAATTTTTTTATGTGAATTATAAGAGTTGAATAAAAAATTATAATTTTTTAAGTATAATTTTTATTATTAAAAAATAAGTTTTCAAAATGACAAACCTCAATTACAACTTTAACTTAAGAAATAATAATTCTTATAATCATAAAAGTTGAATTAAAAATCACAACTTGTTAAGTATGATTTCTGTTATTGAAAAACAAGTAATTAAAATAACAAACCTCAATTATAACTTTTGTTTAAGAAATAATAATTTTCATTCAAAAAATTGTAAGCATTTAAAAAAAATACAGTTTATCAATAAAGATAAAATAATTTTTTAAATTTAAAATTGATTGATGCAGAAGTTCCTAAAAGATTCAGTGAAATTATGATATTTTAAAAGATTATATTATTATTTATATAATTGAAGTTTATTGTTATTTTTTCACGATACAATTCTTTGGCAAGGGGGAAGAAATAATTATATGTTCTAATGAATTTATAACGGGTTGTCAGACGAGGAAGTATAAATTAATTAGTTAAAAGGAACATGTATTTTCTGCTGTTCTCGAACGTAATAAGGGTTTTCTTTTTTAAAAAATAAAACTGTAAAAGTCAGGCGGCTATATTTTCTTTACATTTTAAAAATTAAGCATAGCAACGTGCATCAGAATTAATATAAATATAAGTATTATCTTTTATAATTTAAAAATAAATGAGATTTATGATTTTAAGGAAAGTTGATATTAATCCCACCAAAAAGTGTATTCACTTTTATAATAGACAATTATATTTTAAACATAATTCAAACTTTGTTATATTGAGAAAATGAAAATAAATTCAAGCTAAGCATGCAGAACTCGTGGTTGGTTAAGCAAGAGAGGGTAATAAGAGAAACAAGAAAGTACCACTTTCAAGATTTGGGACCTCTATCCACATCCCATTGAATTCTGGCCAAAAGATATACTCCATCTGTTTTTATATATAAAATATTTTTAATTAAATTATGAAAATCAATAGAAGTTATTATCAAATAAAAGACACAATAATATTTTAATTTTATCCTCAATTATTATAAATAAAAATAAATTTTTATTTTTAAAGTAAATTAATGAGAGCATTTATTTTTTTCTTTTATATTTAGTAAGGGTATAATAATTCATTCATTAAAAAAAATGCTAACATTTTATATTTAAGAATAAAAAAAGATTTTAAAAAACTTCTCACATATAAGGATGAGGGAGTATAAAACAATTTCATGGGGTATGATATGAAATTTAACAGCTGTATTAATGTTTTTAAGTTTCAAACAGAAATAAAGATTAATGCAGCTGTTAAAATTCAAATCATAGCTTGTAATGGAAACTTAATAGTAGTACTGTAGCAGTGGTGCTACCGATTCATTTAGTGAAACAGAGTTCATGCCAGCAGAAATGACAGCGAAAGACGTTGCTCACTTTGCTACCCACGCTCCATCAACCATAGCTTGTGGTAATGTTTAAAATTTGCAATTTCACGATACTTTACTTTATAAGCGCGCGCGTTCAAACCAGCTCCTGTTGTGTTTTCATTAAACGCTGAATTCAGCCTGAATCTAAATCCGAATCCCCCAATGGAGCTGTACTTCTATCAATACTCTTTTAAAAAAATATTTAATCAACACTTCATTCATTTAAAAATATAAGATATTTTTAATTAACTTTCACATTCAATAAAATAGTTATTTATTTTTAAACTAACTTTATCTTTTTATATTTATTCTTATTAAATACTCTATAATAAATATAAAGTCATTATCAATAGGAGCACGTTTGAAAAAAAGTAATAATTAAAACTCAAAAGATTAAAAATTTATACAACTCTTTAAAAAATATTTCATATTTTTAAATAAAGAGAGTATGTATATATAATTATAAATATAACCCCATCCGCTCAATTTGCAGATTACGTTTTTTTTTTGTTGTGAAAAATATATTTGATATTTCAAAGCTACACCATTTAATGCGGTGCGGCTGCTCTTAGGTTTTGCATACCCTTTTTTTTTTTTTTTGAAATCTTTCTCCACAACTTTCTTTTTGCTAGTATAATTTTATTTTTATTCATGTAGCATTTTTAGTTTTAAATGTTAGAAAGATGACAATATTATTATTTAAAAACCAATATATGATATTTCAACAGCAATATATATATATATATATATATATATAAGGCATAACTTAAAACGGTTAAAAGCAAGACCAAAAAAGCGTCAATTCATAGAATTGTACATCAATCTTTTTAAGAGTAGATGACCAAATTTTGAATGCAACAAGGATAATTTTCAATTATTATTTCACTTGCAATCACGATTAATAAAAGTTATGGCTAATTATTATGCAATGTTGAATTGTATCAGTCGTAACTTGTCTTCACACATGATTTATTCTTGATGTATTGGATTTGCATGTTACTTTTAACAAATAATTGACATGATTAGTTAATTATATTTCAAAATTGTATGAAAATGTAACAAAATTAATTAAAACACATTTAGATGGATTATGTTCATGAAATAATATTGACATCTCATTATTTAATACTTCCCGTACAAGGCCAGGAGTAATAAATACTAGTTCACAAAGAGTTTGAGACTGTTTTTTCAGGCACGCATGTTAAGATGATTTAATGTTTTCATTGGATGTATTTATTTTTCCATTGTTGGTTTTTTAAAAATATTATTTTATATACTATAACATTTATAACAACTCACACAATTTACAAATTATAAACACTGTCCAACCCTATAAATTTATAGAAGTAATATAGTATATCTGTATATCTAAATTTTCCAACAAGTTATATTATTTAGGAGTTATAAAGAGTGATTGTGACTCCGTGCAACATACAAAAAATGATGCTAATTTTATATTAGAATATAAAATCTGTAATAACAAGGATTATTAGTGAAAAGTCATGTGAGATTATTTGTGTAAATGATACTCATGGGCATCAGAAGTTGGACGGAAAGGTGTAGTGGGGAGGGGACTACATGGGGGCAGCAGGGTAATGAATGCGGGCTCAAGTAAAATGTCACTCGAAGCAAAGCATAAAAGCCTAAAAACTCACTCCTTCACATTCACACAAGTCGCTGTACTTTATTGGATCCTCTCCTGCGCTTCCACATGGGTCTCGTCCATCGTCTTCCACTCCCTTCCTGCTTCCTCCTCCTCCTCCTCCTCCTCATTCCTAATTTCGCTTCCTCCGATTTGGCCAAGGACAAGCAGGACTGTGCCCCCCAACTCACCGGCCTCGCTCCCTGTCTCTCCTACGTCGGCGGCCAGGCCAAAACTCCCTCCATCGATTGCTGCACCGGCCTCAAACAGGTCATGGACAATAGCAAGAAATGCCTATGCCTTCTCATCAAAGACCGCAACGAACCCGACCTCGGCCTCACCATTAACGCCTCTCTCGCCGCCAGCCTTCCCTCCGCCTGTCACGTCCCCGCCAACATCTCTCACTGCATCGGTAACCTCCTCCTTCACCGTCCAATCCCTGCCTTTCATTTTCAGATTTGAATATGATTCTCACCCCGTTGTTCTTGTTTCAGATCTTCTTCATCTGGCTCCTAATTCTTCCGACGCTAAGGTGTTCGAGGGCTTTGATAAAGCCGCCGCCAAGACTAACAGTTCCAGTTCCACTTCCGCTTCCACCCCGGCCGCGCCTACCGGTAAGTGGTAATTAATTCACGAGCTAATATGTTTTCTGGGTTTGTGGGATTCTTGGGTGCTCATCTGAAATCTGCTGCGCATTATAATTCAGGGAAGGGATCGAGCCCCAGCACGAGTGCTGATGAGAAGAACGGTGGTGTCTCTACTGTGGCTGCGTGGGAAAAGAGATCATGGTTGGTGGCTCAAGTGGTTGGTGTGATCACACCCCTTGTTTTAACCTTCCTTGTTTGAGAACTCGACCGGATTGGGATGCTATGCTAATTGCTAGCCTTTCTTTTTATCATCTCTTTCTTTTCATTTTGCCTTTTTGTTCTTCTTCTTTTTTTTAATACATTTCAGAGTTGTACTTGTATTATCGAACGGCGAAAGAAAACATTTACCACGATCTAGCGTTTAGTTAACTTGAATGGACGGAGCCAGCTGCCAGCTCATGCGTGGTCTGTTTCTTTCCTGTTTTCGAAACTCGAGCTCTATAAATTTTGCAACGGATGAATTCATTCGCGGAACCCCTGTCAGGTCTCAGACCTTTAGGGTAGCTTTTAATGACGCATCTAAGTAAACGAGTGGTAGGTGGTGGCTTTGTTCCAATTTTAAATGTGAAATCAATGTGATTTTAGACTCGCGATCCGAATATTTTCGGGCGTTGCATGGCGAATAAACCGGAGAAGCCAAGAAGATGTGTAAAAGTCGTCCGGCTTTCGCGATTTGAATGTATGATTTTCGGTGGGAAAAGTAAAAATGGATGATTTGACAGGGGTGAGAAAATTACACGGGATGTTGGTAAACGAAAACAGACGCGAGCCTGTGCAAAAAAATAATGAAGATTGCGAGCTCGTACAATTGATAGTGGAAGCAACATTAACAATTAATAATACGGTCAGAAAACGAAAAGTTGCTATATTATTCATATTAATAATTGTATAAGCTTGAAACAAAAAAAATGTCTGTTGTGGTCGTGGCCGTTTAAAAAATGCACTTTCATTATTAATCTGTCTCCCAAAAGTTGCTCATCTGCAGAAGCTAGTGAGCATTCCCACTGCTTGTGGTTGCCCAGATACAGCGATCATTCTCAAATCTCACCATCCAACTTCATAAATTCGTCAGCCTGCTCAAATCGGCCTAGCTCAACCAAATAAAAGCCTAATAGAAGAATTATGGGTAAAGACGGCCAGGGCTGAAAGTCGGACAAATGATGTTCTGGGAAAAGGGAGTGGCTTCCCCTCACGAATCGTGCAAACTCGTGTATATGGATAAAGCTATACCATTTGTCCACTCTAAATTGTACATAAGGTACTTAGTCTGAATTCTCGAATTCTTGTTTTTATTATTTATAAAATAATAAAAAATAAGATAAAAATTGGAAATATTAATTTAAAATAAAAATTGAAATTACATGAACAACAAAAATAATATTTAATAATTCAGATATTTGAGCTAGTCTGAACAAACCCAACAGCTTAAGGAATTGAGGTTGGGTTTGATTATATAGTTTTTTTTTATATGTTAGGACATTTTAAGTTTAATCCAAATAAACTAAACCTGAATAAGCTTGATTTGCTTGAATTACCTACACTGCTAAATTGTAAGTCTCTTCTTTTTTTTTTTTCTCTTTTAATTTCTTAAAAAAATTTAATCAATATGAATCGTTCAAATATAAACCTTAACAATAGATATGAATTTAATATTAAATTAATTTAATATTTTCATGGGAGATGCTCCCTCCATTAAAAAATATAAGGTATTTTTAATCGAATCTCACCTCTCAATAAAGTAATTATCTATTTTTAAACTAATCATATTTTTTCATATTCATCCATATTAAACACTCTATAATAAATATAAAATAATCATCAATATGGACACTTTTAAAAAAAGATAATAATTACACTTCAAAAAATTAAAAATGCCTTATATTTTTAAACATTCAACTCGTCAAAAAATGCCTTATATTTTTAAATGAAGGGAGTAAGTTTTTCATAATTATAATTATGCTTTTTATTATTAAAGTAATTATATTCATCTTAAAATTATCAAATTTTTAATTAAATTATTATTTAATTTATTTTTAATTTCTAAATTTATTTTATAATTTTTTTTATTGTGTTATTTTAATTAATAAATATTTATTATTATAATTATAATACTCTTTTTAATCAAATAACCCCTAACCCAAGCAAAATTTTCTAGTCCGTGACCCGTCCCTGTTGGAAGTGCGGGCCAATCTGGATTTTGGGTCACGGGTATCATAGAAAACCCAGATTGATGATCTCCAAAAAGAAAAACAAAAATATTTGGGAGAAGCATCGTGCCGTTTAGGAGCTTTTTACGTAACCTAATTTGTTTGCCCTTTCACTCGAGGCACGAATTCGAAGGCGTAGCCCACTCGCATCCACACCGTCAGCCATCAGACGGCAACGCTCCTCTCCAGCCTCCACCGTCGAAGGTCGAAGACGTAGCCTCCACTGTCGCCGTCGTCGAAGACAAAGAGGTAAGCAACAAAGCGCCTCTCGACCTTCCACTCTGTCCATTGCTTAGCTGGTGGTTCTTCTGATTCCTGCCTCTCTTTAAGTAAACTTCAAGTATTGAAGTATTTAAACCCTGCAGGAGGTATCAGCCATCATCGAAATAAATTGAATGCGGTTATCATCATTATTGGGTTATTATTGTAGGCGCTTCTTTGGCTCTATGTGATTTTGTTTGCGAAGTGATTGAGAACCACGCTTTGCATGTAAAATCTTTTCTCATAATATATGTTGTTGATTTGGCAAATTGGTGGAATTTTATAATTGAAGTTCTCTCTTCTTTGAATGGGTGGTTAAGTTTTTGTTGTTTCGGTACTTTTACTATTTTTTAAGCTTGAATGATATGGTTACGGCGTGTATGACTATGCGGACTTCTCCCTTTTCGATTCTCTTAGTGAGATGGGGGTCAAGGCTAAGAAAGCAATGAAGAAGAGTCTGAAAAAGGCCAAAGCTGCGGTATCTGTTCCAAGCAAGAAAACAGAGGGCGACTTCTTGGTATGTCAATTCCAAATTTCTAATGGCTGATATCCTTCGATTTTCATTGGTGAGTTGTAACATGCATTTCCTCTCAATTATTGAAGCCCTTGGAAGGTGGTCCTGCACGCAAACTTCCTGAACATAAGTTGCTAGAGAACACAGCCAGTGTGTTATATGTAGGTCGGATACCACATGGATTCTATGAGAAGGAGATGGAAGGTACAGCTCGATTTTGTCTTTCTGCAGATTAAAGAAATTTTAGCTGGGTCTTGCATTAATGATGGCCTGCTGTAGGCTTTTTTGGACAATTTGGTACCATCAGGAGGTTGAGAATTGCAAGAAATAAAAAGGTTAGTCTTATGAACTTGTTACATGCCAGTCTATTCTGCGTGCATATATGTTTTCTAAATTATGCTATGTCAAATGCTTTTGCTACATGCTTTGTTTATGTTGATCTTTTTTTTCTGTTTTTTTCAATTGGGGGTTTCTGATGAGGTAATGATAGATTCATAAGTTAGTTCTGGATGTTTCCATCTGTTATAGCTGTTAAAATTGGCGAATGCTTGAGAATGCAAAATTTTCCAACGTTTTCTTAATATGCCTAGCCCCTTGCTTAGGATAAAGTCAGTGTAAAATACATATATTGATACCATTGTCTAGGTTGGGACTCTTTGTCCCCTAAACAAAGAAGAGCTTCTTGCCTTGAGGTGCCTCAAGGAAGGGATAACAAGATCTTTGGTAGTGTTGTCTTCGTTTTAAAGAGGATTAAGTATAATATCAAGATGAGATCAAAAGCACCTATATCTTTTGTTGTGACTGTCATAATACACAGCATATATAAATTCAGATAGTCAATGACAACACTCTGGGTCTGTCTGCTCCATCAGTTGATTAGAAGAGACCAACAATAATGATTTCTTTGGACTGTACGTATGTGCCTGCCATGGACAGTGTCTGGTAAAATTATTTCATTGTGTATGACTATGCAATTCAGTGAGCTATTAAATTCATCTCATGGATGTGTTGGATTATATATGTTTCCTTATGAGATGAGGGAGGTACTGAGGTAATCTTTTGGCCTACCACCATGGTTCTAGAAAGAGTTGTAGACAAAGAAGTACAATCCTCTACATATCTGAGCCATCAGTGAACTTTTAGAAAGTATCATATGTTCCTTTCACATAGTATTAGACGTATTCGTACTTTTCTACTGAGCTTACTTAATTTTGTATCCTGATGTAAACTTGTAATGATATAATTGGTAGTGGGCTCACCTTGCCCATGAATTATTATTAGCTATTTGGCATTTTAGTGCTACTGATACATTGGTATTGTGAGTTAAGAATAGCTTGGTAGCAAAAAAATCCAAGATTTTTGTTTCTATATCATCAAGTGCATCAGTGGTACTCTGACCTATCACCCATATATTTTCTGTTGACATTTTTTGAAGATTGTCATGTAAGAGCTTGGTTCATGAGCCTGTGAGTACGTGATTTAAAAGGTTGCTTCTGCATGGGTATTCATTAGCAACCAGAACCAAAGACACACTAGAGTGCATATTACTTTAATTTATGCATGTCTGCCCTTGACTAATTTTCAGTGATAAGTGATAACTGATTGATATTTACAATTTCCTTTCTTGATGTTTTGCAGACAGGAAAATCTAAACATTTTGGCTTCATACAATTTGAGTCTCCCGAGGTACTTTTTCTTTCATCTTGCCATGGTTGTGCTATGGCTAATCCATCAAAACTAACAATTCAACACTTTGGTTATAGGTGGCAAAAATTGTAGCTGAGACCATGCACAATTATCTGCTACAGGAACATGTTCTGCAGGTTCATCTGATACCTCCAGAGGATGTTCACCCAAAATTGTGGGTGATTAGTTATTTTATAGAAATATAAATTCCTTATTTTGACTCTTCATACCGAACGTTTATGCAAAATGTTATCTTCAATACTTATTAATCCTTAATGTTGAATGATGAATAGAACTCTGAGGTTGACTGTCAAATTATGGATTTTGTAAAGAGCGTACCTCCACAGACCCTTCATTTCTTCTCTATGCACCTTGAAAGAAGTGTTTTGTCCCCGTCTACAGAATTAATATAACTTCATTATTTTATTATTAATGTAAAATTGTTTTCTTCTACTGAATGTGAATAAGTTTATATGATTGTCTTTTTAAGCCATAGACTCACCTTTTACAGATGGAGGGGCTTCAATTATCGGTTCAAGCCATTGGACTCTTCTAAAATTGAAAGGATGCGGCTTGGCAAGGTACGGCTAGAATAAATTAAGGTAGTGTTTGAATCAGTGGATTCGGATTTGAATTTTAAATTTAAAATCTCAAATTTAAAATCCATGCATTTAAAATTCTTTGTTTAGATGATATAAAAAATTTTAAATTTGAAGACAATGAATAAGGGAAGTGAGAAATGAAAATGAAAAGAGATAAGAGGGTTAGAAACTTAGAATAGCTAGCATTTCAAATAACTAGTGTGCTGGAGAGACTTAAAATTACACAGAGGAATTATAATGAAATATGGATTTGACTTTGGATCAAATCCAAATCCATGCGTTTTTTATGGATCCAAATGATGGATTTGGCTTAAATCCAAATGCAAATCCAAACCTTTTACACCTAAACGCAACACAAGGAAAAATGTTCCCTTGGAAATTTCGTTAGTCTGATCTGCAGTTTTAAAAGAAGTCCTTTGGCTATTTTGCTGTTTTGTTCAGGAAAGAACATTGGAAGAGCAACAAAAGTTGGTTGAAAAGATCATGAAGCGTAACGAAAAACGACGAAAGAGGATAGAGGCTGCTGGGATTGATTATGAATGCCCTGAGATTGTAAGCTTGCTTTTGCGTGCCTATAATTCTGCTGTTGCTGGTGCTTTTGAAATAACATCAAGTGAAGTCTTCTGAAGGGGGCTGGTCACTGAGCCTCGTCTTAATTTTTATTTATTTATTGGTTATTTGGTGTATTTGTTCCTGCAGGTGGGCACCGTCCAGCCTGGTCCTAAGAAAATAAAGTTTGAAGACTGATTCGGTAAGCTCAGTCACATCCAAATGGGGGCATGTCATATTGGCTTTTGTTGTGCTCGTTTGAGAGCTGAATTTGCGTTATTAGTCTCAGGCATGCCAAGTTGATGGTGGATCGGACGAACTGGGAAAATTGAGGTGCCTTGTTATGTTACTGCTGTGCATAACTGCATATGATCAGTGACGACATGCTGCTATCAGATTTCAAGAATTGACCGTCTTCGCACTTAGGAACTGCAATTTTGAGACTTTATACACCCATAATATCCGAACTTAGTGCTTTGCTGGCCTCCTTTTTACAAACAGACATGCTGTTCCGTTGCAGGTCTTGTTAGAATTTATAGAATGTCGATGCGTGTTCGTTATGCTTGCCTGGTGTTTTTGTGTGACAATCATCAATATCATCTTATATATGAAACTTAAAAAACTATATTATTCTCAAGTTATAAATAATATGTTTATGTTACTCTTTCATGTCGCATACGCTATATTTAGCTCATTGAAGCGTTGGCAAAATACTTACAGGTTAGTTAGTTGAGGGAAGCCTTAATGATCTAGAGGAAGCCCCTTCTAATGTTTGCATAGAGGTTCCAAGGGATTTTTTCCCCTTTTCAAGTCAGTCGTCTTTACGTAGTGATTTAAAATAAATCCAAACTAACAAATATCAAAGAAAAGCTCATTCTACGGAATCAACCTTCAATGTTTGACTATTTAGCCGAAGGGTAACAACGGGGACAGGTGAGCTGTCGGTTCATATGAAAAATTGAAATAGAAATGATTCATACAAGGGCGGAAAGTAGAATAGAAAGCGACTATTTAAACTGCAGGTACCTTGAAAAATGTTGTGATATTATATAAAAATCATAATGTGTGTCCTGAAAATTTTAATTTCACTCCCAAGAATATTAAATTAAATGCGTTAAGATCTTATCAAAAGCAAAATTATTGCTAATATGATGCAACCACCCCCCGGCCCCCCCCCCCCCCGGGGAAAAAAAGGTCTTTTTAAGGGTTTTAATATGATCCAATCCCCGACCTCTTATTTCCGGTCAACTTTAATATTTAGCTTGACTTTTCTTCTGCGCAATTTAATCAATTCATTATCATCATATTATTTTATTCTAAATTTATTTAGTAAATAAATTCTAAAATTCCTTTAAACTCTATCTATCACTATGATGTACAATACATTAAACTACATTGATTGGTTTGACCAAAAAAAAAAAAAACATTGATGGCTCCTGAGGTTCATTGAGAAAACTACATTTTTAATTGAAAGATTGAAGTAAAATAATGATAATGATAAATGATAAATATACCGGAAGTTACGTACCTTGGTTTGGTTAATTCATTATCCATGGCATGATGCATCTTCCAACATTGCAAATTGTCCCATGTAGGCTTTTCCATCGTTATTTATTTATTATGTGAAGAAGGGCGTTTCAAGGGAAGAGTCCTCTTGAATTCAATCTCATATCCCTAACGTGTAACCTCTGAAGCTCTCGATAGTGTCGTCCATGGCTCCTCGAATTCGCATCTCACCCATTTTCTTCTTCTGCTCACTTCTTCTGGTAGCGCTTTCCGAAGCTTATCTCCCCCTACCTTTCCGGAGCCTTCCTCTGCGATCTGATCCCAGCGTCCACGATTTGCTCACCAAATACGGCCTCCCCAAGGGTCTTCTTCCCAACAACGTTAAATCCTACGCTCTCTCCGACGACGGCTCCTTCCGCGTAGAACTCCAAAAGCCTTGTTACGTGCAGTTCGATCGTTTGGTTTATTACGATAAGGTGATTACTGGTAAGCTTACTTACGGATCGGTGTCCGACGTGTCTGGAATACAGGCGAAGAAGCTGTTCATATGGCTGCCTGTGACCGGAATCAAAGCCAATGAGAAATCAGATACTGTTGAATTCTACGTCGGGCCGTTGTCGGAGGAGCTTCCTGCTAAACAGTTCGATGATATACCTTCGTGCAAGCGTCAGGCATGCAGAGGGAAAGCAATTCACCCTGAAGCCATGTGAGGTAGTCGCTATTTTTTATTTTTCATATTTTTTCACATAGAAAAGTAAACGATCTGGTGCTTGGGAAAATTCCTGGAAGGAAATCAGAATTATTTGCTCCGTTCTGCATCCGCTAGTTAACTGTTGTGAACCTCTAATCAGCAATGAATGATATGGATGAATTAAACTGCTATTTCGCTAATTTCATTCTGTGATAACGAATTCTGTATTCTGAATTACACGTTTCTTCATTGATCATTGTGAATATAACCTACAATTTTGATTTGGAACCAAAGTCATATCCTTATAAATTACCTGACTGCTTTAGTCACAAGTAAAGTAAGACAAAAGATTTTGTGCAAAATATCTGTTATTATTCGAAGATAGACAAAGGATTGTGCAAAATATCTGTTATTATTCGAAAATAAATAATTAAATTTATTTGGGAGGAATAATTATTGTTGAATATGGATGAGATGAGTAACTGATGGGCTTGAATTGTTATGATGAAGGACAGGTGGAATATGAAGGGAGTTGCATGTGTTGCAGGACATGAATAAAGTGGGACGCTTGTGTGGTGCCTTTAGAGAGCTTACAGTTGCAGCGGAGGACACCTTGGTGCATGAAATGGAATTGATGCTTTTATGGTTTGTTTGTGTCCGAAACAGAAACACAAATTGTAAAGTAAATCCTTAGAGCGTAATTACAACTCCGCACTCAGATCCCACTATGAATCAATGTTGTGTGGTGTCACATTTGTTGATGTTTTAATCTCACTTCCCTCTCTCTCTCTCTCTCTCTCTCTCTCTCTCTCTCATCAAGTCTTGCTCTCTCTCCCAAAATGGTGTTCGACTTGTAGAACATTGTCAATAATAGCTTGTGAAAATATGTTGTGAAAATATGAAAAGTCAACACTTGTATTTTTTTAATTTAAACTGATAAACACAAAGGAAAATATAAATAGAAAACACATCAAACTTCCAGTAGTTATATTTCAGAACAAAATAATGTTGCCAACTATATGCGAACCTTGGAAAGTGAAACCAAACCACAGCAAATACGTTAAATGTTGTACCAAAAAATTGAAGATTGCTGTGTACTCCACTGTTTTTTTTTTTTTTTTTCGGGTGGGGGGGCGGGTTGGGGAAGGAAGACGTGGCTTAGGACCAAAAGGGAATGCAAATTACGTTAAACGATATGCTACGGAATGAACGCGTGGATCATCACCGTATGTGGTTGGAATTAATATGATAATTGATGCTTCATCTCAAGGCCCAATCAACTACTTAATTACGCTTCCCCCCCATTTCTTGCCCTGCTTCCCACCCCACCCTCTAACCAATTGCTTCTACTTCACATATATCAACATTTAATTTAATTAATTAATTTTGTGGGCCATGTTTTAGATTACAATATTTACTACTTAAAATTCTAACAAATATCATCCAAACTTCTACGAGACCCGAGTAAAGTAAGAAAAAACAGTTTGAGTACAGGAAATTAATCCGGGAGATTCATCACACAAACCAATAATTTTAGACTAGGCCATATTCGAGAAGATATTGCAACAATTTAATCCACTTCCCCATTTCCAAGGGGCTTAGCTTTTACTCTCTTTGATCTTATTTACAAGATAAAGAGAAGAATTTTTTTTTAATTCTATTTGTAAATCACCTAATTAAATTTTCATTGTATATTTTCTCATTTGATCTCTATTGAATGTTAGAAAGAGAAAATGTATTGTTAAAGTATGTATATTTAATAAGAATAAAGATGATAAATTATTAAATTTTTAGACATAGTGAATAAGTTTTAAAGTTTTCTTTGGTTATGATGAAATACATTGGAAATGTTTTATAAATAGGACTAGAGAAGTATCATATCATATTATATTATATTCCCTTCATTTCAAATTACAAGACACTTTTAGACAAAATTTTACATATCAATAAATCTCATTAAATACATTTAATAACCTTATTTTTTCAAAACTAAAATACAAACTTTCACAAATACTCATCATTTAATATATTCAGAAGAGAAAGGATCAAAATTAATTATAAAGAGAGAAAGGGCAATATTGAAATTGATGCATTTAATAAAATCTTAATCTACTCAAAATATTTTATATTTTGAAATTGAGAAATTTTTTTAAAAGTGTTTTACAGACGGAGGAAGTAATATAATATATATCTTGCAAATAGCACAAAATAATTAAAGCACTAGAAAACAAACTTGGAGAAATGCCTCACGTTTGCTTTGGAGTTGCCATGGTCGATCGGAATCTCAAACAAAAGGAAGGTGATAATGTAATGAAATCAGAATAGTTGGGAGTGGACCATTTTCTGTGCTTCTTTGAGGACGCCTTTTTTTTTTTTTTTGGGAGAGATGATGAGATTCTTTTTATCGTCGACATTATAAATAATTCCTGACCATATTTAAGTGGATGTCATGTGCAGTTTGTCCTCACGTGGAATCAGGTCGATCAATTCTGAAACTATTCTGTAAATCTAAAAGATTCTTTGTTTATTTAATTGCAATATGAACAAGTCTTCACATCTACCACCACTCAAACGTGGCTGCTGTAATATATTTTAGTTGCAACATCGTTCTTTTCAAAGAATGCCCTCGGAAAACAGCAAGCTGACCATTAATAAATACTCAAGCTTTTCATCGGAAGCAACCTTTTTTTTGGGTAAATGAAAGCGAACATTTTGTTCATTCTTTCCTCAAGCTTTCGGCCACGCCCAACACATGCTTCTCATGCTCAAAATGTCTGGTATAAACAGTTGTCTTGTCTATCTATCTGAATTCAGCAAGCCATTCTTGAACAAAGTATCTCTCTTCCTTGTCAACAATCCATTGTTGTTTTGAGAATCCCACCATGGATGTTCCGAGTGAATCTTCTGGCAATGGCTGTGACAAGATGAGCAAGAACAAGTAGAGCAGCAACTGGAGGAGACATTCTGTGAGCAGGAGAGCAGCGTTGGAGGATGAGACTGAAGACATCAACTCAATGGCCGATGCATAATGCATTCATCAGGAACTTCCGCAAGCAGCTCAAACTTGAGAAAGAAGCGTCATTCCAACGTCTCCAAAATACGATCAATCCAAGCGCTTGATTAAATTTGTCAACATCCATCGTTAATGAAATTTTACTGGAATGTCTCTGTCCTGAGGTTTCATTCAGAGTCTGTAATACGGCAACTTTTTGTGCTAAGAGATAAAATGACTAGTTCTCTTCTCCCAGTTAACTGAGTCAGAGAGTTATATAATTGTTAGGTATAGGTTTGGCTTCTGATAAAGCATGTACAACAGTCGCAAAGCATATCATATTCTGATATTCATATCTAGTAATACTAAAGTAAACCTAGCACTGTAATGGAAGGAAAAGATAAGCCTTCATAACTGTGAATAACATTTACAACATCCGATTCCGCTTCTTCTTCCTATTCATGAATGCAAAGGAATGATCTCATTCTATCCCCAAAATCATCAATTAAACTCATCTTTACAAGAAAATGGATCACTTATCCTACATTTCCCCCACAAGAAAAGGGATAAGTATAATAACCCTCCTGTGCTTGATTTCTTCTGAGGAAACCAACAGCTTCCCTGACTGCATCGCCAAAGCTTTGCTTTACTTCTCAGACTTGAAGCACCTGACAGTGAACAATGTGACTCTTCAAATTACCGCGTCCTGCGATTGTTGACCATAAATTTCGAACCAGGGTCCTGAGATGACCTTTTCCAGCAATATTTTCCCAGAGGTGGGGATTGTTTTCCACATGCTTGTTTGGACAGGAAACATCCACCAGACTGATGCTCATGTTGTTCCGGATAATGCATAGCTTTCCATTCAGGGGAACAAGAGCAGCGGCATCAAAAGCCCGGGAGCTACCTAAATGAAGCTTGCTATCTATAAACCTTTTCCATGAATCTGTCGCTCCATCATAAACAGTAAGCTTACACCCGTCTTGGCAATCAAGTGCATAGAGTTGTCCATTCAGCGAGATGCTAGGATTACGCCAACCATTAACCATCCCGTTGCTAACAGGGGTCCAGGTGTCAGTTTCAGGTGAATAGGCTTCACATATTACATTGCGACGGGACCCAAGTCCCTTCAGAAACCAGGTTCCATTATGGAAAACACCAATAAAGGGCACCATGGGTGTGCTCATCTCTGAGACGAAGTTCCACCTGTTCCGGTTGGGATCATAAACTTCAGCAGACCTAAGGGTTCTTTGAATTCCTTCACATTCCCCACCAGCCACATAAAGACAGTTATTTATTACACAAAAACCAAAAAGATGACGTTTCCGGAGCATATCTGGTGCCCTGTGCCATTTATTTGTACGAGCACTGTAGAAAATGACACGTCTCATCGACCCCTTTTCTCGATCTTTTCCACCAAATAAGTACAGGTGGCAGCCACTTATAACAGCACAGCCAAATCCCAATGCTTCAGAGTACTCCCCCGGAACAGGTGGAAGAGGCTGCCAGAGTTGGTAGATAGGATCGAAAGCATGCAATGAGATTCTCCCATCACGGTCTCTTTTGATGACATAAACCCACTCTTCTGCCATTCCAAGACTTTTCCTTTGCGAATAAAAGTAGTTTCCAGAAAGAAGGCGGTACCATCTCTTGCAAACCAACCGCAGTTTCCTATGCTCAATCCGAGGCACTCGAATCAAACAAGCAATGGCAAGATCATCTGGAAGGCCAGGTAGCAGAGGAGGCTGAACTCGTGTCCTTTCTCGGCGTGAATTTTTGTTCTTGTGCGCATTGGGATTTATGTCAGGCTGGATACAGATCTTTGACCCAGGAACAAATTTACGTGCCCCAGCAACTGTTTTCAGGCCTGAATCGACTTTGCAGTAGCAAGAAACAGAGTCAACCTGCGAAGCTTTCCATGTCAGGATTCTAAAAGCATCAAAATATTCCACGAAAGAGATAATGGAAAACAAAAGGCAAATAAGAATCTACAACAATTTTATGTGCTATCTTAGATTCTATCGATGTCTATGACTATTAGCAAACTGCTGAAGTACACAAGCATAAAGTATCTCCTTTCTAACTTCTGATACCAAAACAATAGTTCCTACAAAGTCCCAAAATAACCAAGGCCTGTTGAAAAGCAAAATTCAATTATTTCAAGCACAAATTTGATTGTTATTCTTCTAGAATGTCTATATTTAAATATTAGCATTACATCATTTGCAGACATGACAATTTCATTGCTGACATTAGGACTTTGAGAATGACGAAAAGCAACCAAGATCTATCATATGCATCATGTTAGCAACACAAGTTAGCAATGATATTACCCCAAGTCCAAAGCATTCCAAAAAGACAAGAGTCATTGTTAGAGGAGTTATAAGTAACAAAATAAAGGTAGAATTGGTACTTGCACCAGACATTTCAGCAACAACTCAAATTACTAAGTAAACCCAAAAGTTTAGTTCATAACATGGCTTCAGACAAATAGTTCAAATAGCCTCAGACACAATTAGTTTTTTTTTTTTTTTTAAAGCATTAGCATCGAGTGGATAATACTCAATGACACGTCAGGGTGAAAAGTGAAACATATCCCTGTGAATGCAGCAATAGATCAATTGATGTGGATATGTTTTGTCTGAAAAAGCCAGAAATACGTTAGGAAGGAGGTGCAAGGAGGCAAAATGGTTCAGCTTAATAAAATCAATGAATCAGTCAGGAAAAACTGCAGGAAGGAAGCCCTTGATGAGATTCAGGAAGCTTGGA